AGCAGGAACAGAAGTGACTGTGGGTAATGACAGATTTTTCTGAAATGTAGCAAAAACCTCTGCAAGGGGACGTCCACCCAGGCACGTTGGTGGGGTGCTGAACCCCCGCTCAAGGCAGCTGCTGGAGCACCTGTGACAAAACACTCATGGAAAGATGAGGAGGTGTTTGACACTAGAGTCAGAGTGCCTGTTTCTGAAGGGGAAATGGGCCACCAGCTTCAAAACCTGAAGAAATCTTGGCCATGTTATGTTTATTGCAGGGTGATTAGATAACCTGCTGAAGAGGTTATTGAGTGGATAATTTTGTATCTTTCTGTCATTTCTTTAAATTAAGATTGGTGGGCTGACTCATTTTGAACTGTTTTATAATTCTCAACTCAGCCAAGACAACAAATACTACATTTTTTGAGGCTTTTAAAAAAAAAAAATTCTTTTCATTTATAGAATTTTGACCATCCTCATGTTCCATCAAACTCCTCCTTTGTGAAAACAGGGACAACATGTTTGGACACTTCCTGCCTGTGTACAATTACCATGCAGTTCTTCCTACACAGCCTAATACTCAATATAGCCCTTTATTCTAATTATCTCAGGCTGTTTTGATACAAAATTGGGTTCAAAGAGGACACAGGCATTTTGGAGGAATTTGGGAGTATGGGAATTCACAAGTTTCCTGACAAGAAATAAAGAGGAACCATGAACAGAAAACAAAGAAATTGATGAGACCTGCTGAATCTCTGGAAATTGGTGGTACCTGTGTTTACCAGCCCCAAAGCTGCTTTTAATGGCAGAGTATAAATGGAGCCAGAGTATAAACAGAGCCAGATCAGACTAATCAATAATGGAATTACATGTTCAAAGCCTGGACAAAAACCACAACCTTATTCTGGGAAGCAGCAGAAGGGATGCAGAGAGGAGCATTTCAGTGCTTGGACAAAACAAGCTGCATCACCTAAGTGTTCATACTTCTACTAGAAATACCAGTTTCTTCTTCATAATGACAGCCCCTTCACAACCTGAGCAATTGTAAAAAAGGCATTGGGTACCAATACTTTAAAAACAGAGGTTCAAAAGTCCATATTCCTCAGGTCAGAGTCCATCCCTGATTTGCTGACATAATACTACCCACAGCACTCCTCCTTCTAAACCAGCTCCCAGCACATGTGTTCTCACCTGATGCTGAGGTGTCATCAGCAGCTTTCCCGGAAGGGACCTCAAGTGACTTGCTTTGTCCTCTGCTCAGATTTGCAATTTGAGTGCAGGTATCCTCCCACTAAAAAGTTCTATTAGGTCAGTGAGCAAATCAAGATGATAAATAAATTGCTAGGGATCTTTCAAAATTACTCATTCTACAGTGAACTCTTGGGCTTGGCCCTGAAGGAATTGTAGGCTTCAGCATATCACTACCACCCCACCCAACACTGCTGTTGTTGAAATGCGCGGGAATGGAGGAGACACTATCATAGAATCATAGAATGGTTTGGGTTGGAAGGGACCTCAAAGATCACCTAGTTCCAACCCCCCTGCCATGGGCAGGGACACCTCCCACCAGACCAGGTTTCTCAAAGGCCCATCTGACCTGGCCTTGAACACTGCCAGGGAGGGGGCAGCCACAGCTTCTCTGGGCAGCCTGTTCTAGTGTCTCACCACCCTCAGGGTGAGGAACTTCTTCCTTGTATCCAGTCTAAACCTGCCCTCTCTCAGGTTCCAACCATGACCCCTTGTCCTATTGCGGCAGGCCCTTGTAAAAAGTCCCTCCCCAGCCTTCTTGTAGGCCCCCTTCAGGTACTGGAAGGCTGCTATTAGGTCTCCCTGGAGCCTTTTCTTTTCCAGGTTGAACAACCCCAACTCTCTCAGCCTGTCCTTGTAGGGGAGGTGTTCCAACCCTCTGACCATCTTGGTAGCCCTCCTCTGGACTCACTCCAACAGCTCCATGTCTTTCTTTTGTTGGGGACTCCAGAACTGGATGCAGTATTCTAGGTGGGGTCTCATAAGGGCAGAATCACCTCCCTTGACCTGCTGGCCACACTGCTTTTGATGCAGCCCAGGATACAGTTGGCTTTCTGGGCTGCAAGCGCACACTGTTGGCTCATGTTCGTCTTATCATCCACCAGCACCCCTAAGTCCTTCTCCTCAGGACTACTCTCGATCCACTCATTGCCCAGCCTGTATCTGTGCTTGGGATTGCCTTGACCCAGGTGCAGGACCTTGCACTTGGCCTTATTGAACTTCATGAATTTGGCTTGGGCCCACCTCTCCAGCCTGTGAAGTTCCCTCTGGATGGCATCCCTTCCCTCCAGCGTGTCAACCTCACCACAACTTGGTGTCATTGTCAAACTTGCTGAGGGTACACTTAATACCACTGTCCATGTCGCCGACAAAAATGTGAAATAGCACCGGTCCCAGTACCGCTCCCTGAGGAACACCACTTGTCACTGGTCTCCACTCAAACATTGAGCCATTGATCTCAACTCTTTGAGTGCGACCTTCCAGGCAATTTCTTGGAACTAGAACGAGTCTAGTGCACAAGATGTTCCCAAGCTAGCAAGCACCTGGACTGTAGCACAACTCCTGTAATATACCTTGCCAGCTCAAAACCCAGTCGCACAGCTGTTTCTCTTCCCTCTTGGCAGGCTTAGCAAGCCAGAAAACTGCCAGAAAGCATTACACACCTCTCATGAAATCAGAGTGTCTCTCAGTGGCACCATTTCTTACCATTGTTTCTTTTTCTGAGACTACTCTGTGCTGTATCAGTGTGGTGTCTGTGAGCTCAGTCAGTTGATGGACCCAAGTTGATAATTTAAAACAAAGAAAAGAGTTGACAAAAAATTTGACCAAGAAAAACTGTGAAGAACATGATGAAGTTACATGCTGAAACCACTGTTAGGAGCATACCTTCCTCATTCTTCCCGTTGGGTGCCTGAGGGTCTACAGCCATTCCCAGCTTACTTAGCCACCTGTGTTTGAAACAGGAAATGTAGAGTTAGGGATACTTGCATGCTGTTTGGACAGAGTTTTGCTCTTTTCAGGTGTGTTCAATGTAACCACATCTATTTTCATTAAACTGAAGACTAAATGTCAATGTTTCTTTCCATTTCTTAGATCATCTTCTAGAAAGGCACCAGTTACCTGGATACTAATATTCCCTGTGGTGAGCAGGACTAGTTGCCTGGGACATCTTCTTTCCCTGATCCTGAAAAAAGCACTACTGATGACCAAGGTGTTGCATTTGTGGAAGCTAAATGAAAATTATGTGTGCTATAACACAGTGCCAGTGGTTTGGTCTTGCTGTTGAGGTGTCATCTTTCACCTGAGATGAAGCAAAAGGCATAGGAGCCATAGAAGATTATGTCAGCCACCCTGTCCAAAGCTTTTGCAGTAGTCTAATAATCAAGCCATTTAAACCCAGACTTTCTGACCCGTATGTACTGCTTTCTTCAAGTCTCTGTATTCTTTTGGTTTTAGTAAGTCTCACTTCCGGTTTTACTTTAAGCTATTAACAGGTGTGGGGTTTTTTCATTTTTATTCTTAGGTGGCTGCATTTTTCTAGTGCTAGAAATAATCCCTAGATATACTTTTTATGTGTTGTTTGCCTGTAGGTCATTCAGGTCTATCCAGGTTTTAAGAAAATAACAACTAAAAACTCAAGCCTTTCAGATTAAAAGTCAAGGTCTAACTAGGGAATGTATGAAGGGCAGGAATTAAGTTTCATAACTCTGAAAAAACATCATGTCTGATCTTGATTCCACTGAAACGATGGGAAATTTACTAGCGAGATCAGTGTGAAAGTAACTGGATTTTCAGACTGCAGTATGAAAAATAGAGCCACATAATAATTCAAGAAAACAAAGTCTCATTTCTGTAAGAGTGGATTATTGACTTTCTTCTAACAGCTAATCATAACACGATGATTTTTTAAATAAAAAAATCTTAGCAAAAGAATAGGTTTGCAAAAAAATCCAGGACTTCATTAATGACAAGGTCAGACAGATCATTCGTAACTGTGTGCAACTGGCCAGGTGAATGTACACAGCTTGCCAGCACACATTTACTTTTCATGTGTGCATGACAACAGCAAATACATGCTAAATTAATGAACCAAATGGCTGTATTAATAAATCCATTGTTGATTTAATAGATATTTATGCATGAAGAGTTACAAAAGGTCATGAACTATCAAGCATTTATGGACACCCATAACTTGACACACACGAATGCCCCAGTGAGTTCAGTGGAACCACTCACATGCATATGCATTTGCAGGACTGGAGCCAAGAGAACAGATGTCTTTTAGTCTGTTTTGACATATGCGTGAGTATGCGTGTACTTTATGTATTAAATACATGTATTTTATACTTTGCCAAGGAAAACATCATCAGTTACAACAGTGAGGAATTAGTATTAGTGCAGTATAATGGAAGCTGCTCTAACACTAGGCTGGCTAGCTTTAAGCCAAAATGAAATTTACTTGAGAAGCGGAGTTTGAAGAAAATCATTCTAGGGGCATAAGAGCTGGGACATCTGCATAGATTTCAGTCACTCACTCACACAAGACTAAACATTTCAAGACACTGAGAATTTCCAGCTGGGCTCCAAACTGGCTGTTAGCACATACTAACGTCCTCCATTAGCTCTAATTTTCCTTTTCCTTCTCCCTCCATCCTTCCTTCTCTTTCCTCTCAATCAGAGTTACTCTTTCTATAGAAATATTCCTGTTCAACGGTCCCTCATTCTCAGTCATCCTCAGTCCATCTGCCTCAAGATCTTCTCACTCCTTTTAGGAGCTCCACTGGGAAATGCAGCAATACAGAAATAGACGGTTATCTCCCCACCAGTATGCTCTGTGCTGCTCCAAGTTTGCAAAGGGCCACACATTCTTTCCATCTGTGTTTACTTGTACACATCTATAGAGTAAACATTTATGAATATATCTCTATGTACGTGCACTGCTGTAGTATCGTACATTTCTGTATCTATAGCCCTTTTGGAAGTTCACATAGGTTCTCTCAACCTCTATCCTTTTCTGTTGTGGTAAATATGTATGAGGTCTCCTGTTCTAGAAGGAAAGAACAGTTAATGTCCTATGAAGAATCTCACAAGGATCACCAGCAGAGCCATAATTAAAACCCTGGGCTGACTATCATAGCAACTCTCTTCCCATGTAAATTGTACTGCTTTATACCCAGTATTTGTCCATTCAATGCAATAGCATTGTGAACAGACTGCAATCTGAAGTAAAAAAGACAAATAAGATACAAGATGTGTCTAAATCAGCCAAAACTGGATCAATAGCAAGTAATATCTATTTCTAATAGCTCAGTGGTTTCTAAACTGGCAGTGTTCATATCCATTTTAACTTCTGGGATTAAAAACTGCACGAATGAGTGGTTCTTACGGAAGCTTGTGCACAGAAAATTTCTGATCTGTCATAAGGATCATTTAACTGCAACATAGTTTGGTGCTGAAGTAAATGCTTACTTACAGTAAAGAAACAGCCCCTTCTATCCCTTTGACCCTCTTGTTAACTGACACGCTACTCTGAAAGCAGACAAGTTCTAGTCCTAGATCGTTTCTAGGACAAAACTATATTAAGCTTTTCAGTCTCTTTCGTTTCTTCCCTCACTTCTCCCAAGGTGATGAACTTGCTATCAAATCTTTGCGTCTCTTTAACGGAAAGGGATTTATACCAGCAAATGTCAGGAAGATTAGTATCAAAATCAGGTTAATAATGCAATTCTGATTTCAACTGTCATTAGTGAACTAATAGCAGTGTTTTTGTTCTACACAATGACCAGAAAACAAAACAACCTCAGTAATCCCCTGAATAACTTTGTCAATAACTGTTTGACGGTGAGAGAATTAACTTCCAAAGGGTGTTCTCAGACGTGAGACAGGATGCAACATGGCCAGTCACTCCTACTTACGTGTTCATTTCCAGAACATTTTCTGCTGCAAAATAAAATGTCTTGATCTGTGGGTGGCTGATCTTAATAGCACTTTAAGAAAAGAAAAATGGAAGAGTTATGCAGAAAACTAGTTTACATATGAAAAAAAAATAGCTGAATGAATTATTTAAAAATATTTATTTACTCCACTATATTAATCCAGATCATCTTATCCATCCATATAGCTCTTTCCTTAAAACTCTGCTCTATTTTTAGCTCATTTCCTAGGCCACACATTATTCAGCAGATATAAACTACAGGAACTAAAAAGGAAGGAATGAAGAATAAAGAGAAGACCTTCATCATGCAATTACATAAATCAGTTGTGTGCCCATATCTTGAATACTGCATTGAGCTTTGCTTCCCTCAGCTGAGAAAAGCATAGTTAACTTGGAAATGGTTCAGAGAAAGGGCCGGGGTGACCCAAGGTATAGAACAGCTTCCATGGGTGATCAATAGGCTAAGATTCCACAGCATGGAAAACTGATAATGGAGGAAGGGAGATACGATACAATAAAATCACAAGCAGCACGCAGCAGGTGAACAGGGACTGACTCTTCACTGTGTTTTCCAAGACAAGTTTTAGGACTGCACCAGTTGGCAGGTTTGAAACAAACAAAATGTCAGGGGGCTAACTCCAATAATTAACCTATTGATCTCAGCCCCAGACTATGCTTTAGTTGAATATCCACAAGTAAGACTTTTCAGATTCTTTTTTTTTTTTCATGAAACATAGTCTCCAATCCTGAAACTGTGTGGCTTCCCTCTTTTGTTCCTCATTAGATGACTGACTCTGTCCTGTGGAAGCACACACTGTTTGATTGGGCCCCAGTGAATTCTCTCAGTTCTCACAACCTACCCCATCCCAAATAAGTGATGAGGACGTGTTTTCCTCCCAGACACTGAGAGCCAACAGCTGCAGAAGTAAAGGTTTTTCTCAGGGTCCTACACTATGTGACTCAACCTTTCCTCTGAGAAAACAAAATGGAGCTCCCCATATTCAAAATAGCTTTTCCCTTTCTTTGGAGGAGTCAAGCCCACAGTTAGTCTCAAGAACACCTACAGCTAATGTCAGCATGAGACCCAAACAGAAGAATGAAGGCTTTGTCTTGGGGGACAGAATAAAAAACATGCTGAGCCTTATAATTTTGAACAGCAGGAACAGCCCTCCAAATATTTGAAGTATACTCAGAAGTCAGTGCTGTATATGGAGTTTGGAGAGAATATTTTGAAATATTTTTGAAGCGCACCCTGCTAAAAAAAGTTTATTCATTGCACAATCAGAGGCTGCAAGTACAGCCCAAGCTCAGCTGCACCACAGCAGTCTGAAAGGATAAGTCCCAACTCAGAAGGAAGCAGCATTACTTACACCTCCCCCCCACCAAGAGAAGGTATCTAAGACTACAACTTACTCATAATCAGTGAACAAAGAAAAAAAAAAAAAAAAACACAAAAAAAAAACATTTGGTATACTGATCTATTTTTTATTTGTAGTTTTAGCAGAACACATCTGGCAGTGAATTTTCAAAAATATTTTTGCAATATGGTTTTCTTTCAGTAGCTTAATTAATATCTCATTATTTATACAACACAGAAGAGCTCCCTGCAGCTTCATTGTCAGGTACTACTCAGATTCAATTCCTTACAACGTTGTAAAAATTGTGCAAAACTAGGGCAAGAGATAAACTTACTGCTTTTTTTTGCATTCAGTTGCTCGGTCCACACTGAAGTCTGGAAGTCTGATAAATCCTTCTGCTTTTTCAGCCTGCAATAAAAAAAATATTTAAAAATCACCACATCAACCAGTTGGTAAGCTATCAGACTCCAATGCTCAAAGATGTTTAACATGCAAGTACTTGTTTTTGACAGCTTTTTATGGTGTGAAAATATATGCTCATCACCATGGGGACAGATTAACACTGATGTTTTGGCTGATATTTGGAAGCAAGAAATATTCCTGTACCAGCTACTATTTGTGCAGGTCCTAGATGCTGGAAAGCCACTGCTTCTGTCTGTGCAAGTGGCAGAGTGTGAGCATACGATTTGTTGTACACTTCCAAATGTCAAAACACCTGAAAGAAGAAGGATCCTCAACTCCTACAGCAGTACTGAGTTAGATTCCCCCTCCTTCTCATCTTAAATCATTTCTATCAGTGCTCCCTTATCTAAGATTCAGTATTAAGTCATAAGTATAGTCCAGAGTCTGAATCTGTCAAGGGCAAAATTTAGGTTTGGATCAAACCAGGACTAAAAATCACAGGAAGGTGGAGGAACCCAGTCCCTTTGCAGCCATCAGCGATCACACAACTTCTTTCAAGAAAGACACCGGACATGCTTTGTCCATGGACTGTGGAAAATGAAACTACTGAACCTCAACTCTAAAAACAGAAGCCTCTCAAAAGAGACAGATTACGTAAGAGTGGAAGAATAGGTGTTATATCGTCTGTTCAGTTCTGAATGTTACATACAATCGCAAAGGAGCATTTCTTCAATTATACAGCATGCATGCGTGTTACACAGGCCATAGAATCACAGAATGGTTTGGGTTGCAGGGGACCTTAAAGACCACCTAGTTCCAACCCCCTGCCATGGGCAGGGACACCTCCCACTAGACCAGGTTGCTCAAAGCCCCATCCAACCTGGCCTTGAACACTGCCAGGGAGGGGGCAGCCACAGCTTCTCTGGGCAACCTGTGCCAGTGTCTCACCACCCTCACAATGAAGAACTTCTTCCTGTTATCTAATCTAAATCTCCCCTCTTTCAATTTGAAACCGTTACTCCTCATGCTATCCCTAAAGTCCCTGACCAAGAGTCCCTCCCCACCTTTCCTGTAGGCCCCCTTTAAATACTGGAAGGCCGCTACAAGGTCTCCCCAGAGCCTTCTCTTCTCCAGGCTGAGCAACAACAACTCTCTAAGCCTGTGCTCATAGAGGAGGTGCTCCAGACCTCTGATCATCTTCATGGCGCTCCGCTGGACTCGCTTGAGCAGGTCAATGTCTTTCTTATGCTGGGGGCCCCAGAGCTGAACGCAGCACTGCGGGTGGGGTCTCATGAGAGTGAAGTAGAGGGGAAGAATCACCCCCCTGGACCTGCTGGCCTCACTTCTCTTGATGCAGCCCAGGATGTGATTGTCTTTCCGGGGTGCGAGTGCACATTTCTGCCTCACATTCAGTTTTTCATCCACCAGCACCCCCAAGTCCCTCTCCTCAGGGCTGCTCTTGATCCACTCATTGCCCAGCCTGTTTTTGTGGTTGGGATTGCCCTGAACCAGGTACAGGACCTTGCATTTGGCCTTGTTGAACTTCATGATGTTTGGATGGGCCCACAATGCATAACATTCTGCATAAAAGCAACTTGTAATGGTATAATGATATATGCATAGTTGAAAAATACATGTCTATAGCGACAGGAATTGAAAACTGACCCAAAATGATCCAGGGGACAGATGGAGGACTGTCCCCTGGGTACTTGTAACATGGACTGTTTCATACGGTCACCATGCACTCCTGTGAGCAAGGCAGAGGCAATATTGGCCGCTCCCATGTCAGGAGGTGAAATGCTGAAAGGGGGTTGTGCCACGCAACTGAGCTCTGTTATTAAACACTGTGAATCAGCCCTGAATAGCTTTGGCCACCCAGCTGTCACTCCCCCCAGAAATTTGCAGGCAAGGTTCAGGATGTAGCAAAAGCCAGGCAGACGTTTAAAGTATCCTGTTTAGATGCAATCACCCTTTTCTGTACAGAAGAGGGTTTACTGAGCATTGGCATCTCTATTCCGGGTCAGCTGGACTCTGCGTCAGAGAGTGGCTCCAGCAAAACTGAAGTTACCAGTTAGCCTCAAATCCCTGTTCTTGCTGCTTGCAGCTGAAACATCTTCCTTTACTACATCTATCTACATTCACCCAATCAGCTGCAGTAAGACTAGGACTCCTCCTAAGAGGAGCAATAATGTAGATAAAAGTCTGTAGGACATAATGTCAGGAAAAACTGTACTTTCTAAAATACAAAGAGTGTTCATTTCTGAATCACTTTTTTGCTGCTCCCAGCCGTTATCCCTGAGCACATTAAAATTCTGAAAATGTACACTGAGTTAAAGCAAGTAAAATATACACAACAATTACAAAGACAGAGGATAAATGAAGATGACTGACAGCATCTCAAGTCACATTATGCATGAATATGAAAAGACTATAAAAAGATGTTCATCGAGACAAGTCTTTCTTTAAGCTTTTATGCTTAGATGTATGAAACCCTGAGAACTGAAATATGGATATAGAATGGATATTTCAGTGGGTGGCTTCCCTGCACCTCTGCATATCTGGTTTTTGGTACACGATAAATCACAGCATAACCATCATTCCTGCAGTTTACATGTATTAAATATTCATGAGAGATGCGTATTTTGCACCTTCACCAGTAAATGGTTTTGGCTGCTCCAGGAAAAAAAAAAACAAAAAAAAAACCAACACAGCAGCAGAAGGTGGTTTTTGTTATTTTCTTTCAATACAGAAGAAACAATTATGTTTATCAGCATCTGGGCTGAAAAAACTTTTATTTTGCAGTGTGTAAGAAAAAGTGCTTATTTGCTATTGTGGGTTTTTAACTTTCTCTGATTAGATTTGTGTCCGTCAAACTTGTTTAGAGCCTGGCTTGGGGAGCTTTTTTTTCCATTCCACAGGTAGGAATCTAGTGAGACTAAACTCATTGAGATAAAACAATTAACTGAAGAAAAAAAAAGTTATAAGATTTTTTTTAAAGTCTTTTTTTTGAAATGTAGATTTTGATCAGTTAGACCTTAATCTAATATTTCCATCCCAGATCCATAGTACAAGTATATAGGGATGAGCAAATGGGTATGAGTGAGTAACGGAGGAGCTTTATCCATGGCCTGCATTGTACTAAAGATAGAGAATGTACGATCCCACATTTCTGTACTAGAAAGAGTGGTCACTTACTAGACTAGGTGCTAGTGAGAACACCAAAATCCCTGCTTGGTTCTCAAGACCCATCTAAGAATACCAAAAACCAGCCTCAAAAAAACAGTTTATGAGGTATCAAAGCCATTACTACACGCATTGCTAGATGAGACGCATATACAATGCCAGTTGTTCCTCTGAAGTACGACTCAACAAATCAATTTTTTAAAAAAAGAGAGATCCAGAAGACCCCGTGTGAAGGAATATAGCCTCTCACCAACACACCAATAAATGCACAGCTTGATCTAGTAAGCCATCAGGTGGACAAGTGGGTGACTAGGGTCTGGGGCAGGCTGGCCTTCCATGTTACGAATGCAATCACAGCTCAGTCAGCTTTACCTGTTGGTGCAGTAGCCATTGTTCTAGACTGTATCCTATAAATTGCTTAGGGTGCTGCACGAGCACTCAAGTGGAGATTAATTCCATGCAATACCATTAGGTAAGTCACTGTCTCTACTGTCAATGCATACAGATGTTTGAGTGTTTGGATTTTGTATTGATCTAGTGAATTATCAGGACCCTGTAAGTCAGCGTGGGGACATTCACCTGGGGTGTTCCCGCCCATGCAGAGGTGGAACTTGAACTTGAACCACTGACGTATGCAATGAATACCTAAATTAGAGGAATACTCTCTAAATTGCTAATGAAAACCTAATAAAATTAATATCTAAATGAATGATCTAAATTAGATTAACTGAATAAATTAATAATAGTTTTTATATTATTATATAATTATATATAATATAATTATGTATTATGTAATCATATAATAATTTTAATAATAATAAATTAAAGATAATATCTAAGTTAGAGGAATACTCTCTAAATTGCTAATGAAAATAGGTCTGTAGGCTTTGATTTCAGTAATTTACATTTACTAGTTTTACAACAGAGAGATCTCTAGACTTCTTATTCAGTGTTTGGCATGTTCCAGTCGGTAAAAGTTTATGTCCAATGCATTCGGGTCTTATATTAATTCTGTCAGTGGTTTCAGATTTGTTCGTTGTAAGAAATATATCGTTCATTTTATGTACAAATGAAAGGAAGGAGGATAATTGTGTGAAATTTACTTTTTTTAATACATTATTCGTACACATCTCAGATATGCCATCTATATGACAGAAAACAGGGGGTTGATGGGTAATTAGTTCCATAATTATCAGAAAAAAAGAAAGGAAAAAAAGGAAATCAAATCATAACAGTAAAATCTTATGAGCATTATTACAGTCAGCAAATAGAATTCCAAATACATACTTGGAACAGAACATGTGGAAGTAATCTTTTTAGTCATTCTTGGAATAAAAATGACATTTTAACACATTAAAAGTGTACAGAAGTCCTAAATGTTATCTTTAATGTGATTTTAAGCCTGCTATTATTTAACTCACAAATTTCACTCAAATTTTGTTCATATTTTATTGTAATGCTGTAAAATAGCCCTAAAAGACTCAGATTAAAAGAACTTTGACTTGTTTCCTATTTAATGAGGTTGTTTAAAAGAATAAGCTGTTATCTCTTCTGGTTTTTGTGCAGGTTAGCCTACCATATAAATCTGCACATTTTGCTATGCCAAATTGTAGGAAAATAATTTCAATAATATACAACAGTCTCTGAAAATGCTTGAGGCAAAAAGAAAGTAAACCACTTTTTCACAGAAAAAGCTTTTCACTTTAAAGAAAATTCAAACATGTTTATGAAATGTAATGCGTGAATCCAGTTAAAGAGGCTAATATCCTTTTTAGCTTGCCTGAATACATTGTCTAAATGTTGTGGCTTTAGGAGATTTAGAAAATAATTTCATAGTCCTTTTTCAATAATCAAAGTGAATGTAATGGCACAGAAAGATTTTTTAAAATAGTGCTTTAAAGTGAAAATATCTAGTTATTGCAGAATAGCTCCAATCTTCAATTCAGGGTACTCCTCATGCCTTCATCACAGTGTTCCAGCACTGCCCCCAGAAGACCCCATGGATGTTGGAGGAACAGTTCACTCCTCAAGCCTTTTTATGGTCTTTTTTCTCTCTGCCGGTACAGCAGTGAGGCAACCTATAGAACTGTGAATAATTTGTGTAAGATATTGGACCAGCAGTCTCTTAAGCCTTCAGCGCAATCAGTCGACATCAATGGCTTTTTATCATTCACGTAAGCAGCTACTATAACTCAAAGGTGAAAGGTTTCTGTATGAAAAGACTGTAATTATACAGCTCCTGGCAAAGCTGTTGGAGTGAGGACAAATTTAAATGCAGTGAACAGGGAAAAAAACTCCAAAGATAAATAGTGACAGTAGATCACAGACTGCAACCCTTTGATTTTATATTTATATTTCTTTTCAGCTGAATCCCCATGACAACCATCGTTAACACATCCTGCAAAACTGTATTTCAACTCTACTTAGAAAACCAGCCGAGTTGTCCTAAAGGTCCACAAGACAGAGGTGTTTAGTCCTCTGTCCCTTTCCAGCCACCACTGTCCAACACAGTCTCAACAAGTGCAAGGGGCCAGGAGCCTGGGATTACGTGTGACAACCTTCCCCTGCCACCTGTCTTCCTATGCAGGAGTACTGGTTCCCTCCAGGGTTTCAGCATGAGAACTAAAACTGCTAAAGGGGCAGGCAGTATCACATACATTCCTCTTTAAACAATTCTCTTCAAGGCAGCTCCCTGCAGAGAGCAATACTCAAAAGAGAGAACCAAACACTAACAAAGGGTGGTTGTCCAAGGAGTCTGGTGTTCCTGAATGCACCCAGAAAGTCTGACTGCTCAGATCCATTTCCTGACATTTTCTATGTTTCTATTGCAAAACCAACCTTTCTGTGTCTCTTCTTAGTCCAAACAGCTACCAACTGGGGGCATGTCCATCCTGCAAACGAAAGTTTACCTGCCTGATGTGATATCCATGTTTTATAGAAAGAGTAAGCGTACATGGGAAGAGGTTTCAGGGTAGCCTACCCAAGCCTGCCAAGACCACTGGGGCCCTAACTTCACCACTCCCAGTACCTCAGCTAACTGGTCAAAAGCTAATTTGGCTTTGCTTATGTGATCTGGTTTGCTTTCAGTGAAGGAGAAGCTTGACTCTCGGGGTGTCTGATCTGCTGTTGCTGACCCTTCTCAACATTTTTTCTTTTTCTCTTTTGTGATGTGGTTTTCACAACAAATTTTATGTTAAATTGAAGGAACTACTGTCCACGACTATCACCACAAGTACCCTATAGCACTGCCTCCAATCTGCCTTATGTGAAAGACCCAGAACCAGAGTGGCTCGAAGGCAAATTAAATCAGAGTAACAGAAACATGCACAGCTTACGAGGTGCCTGAAGGCAGACTTCACCAAGAACAGGATGTCAGTTGAGGTTACCCACCCAAATCTGGGACAACACACATTCTTGTACAAATTCTACCCACTCCTTATTTTCTCCATTTCTATTAGCAAAAAAAGGTTAGGTCCAGCACCCTGTTGCTATGCTACAGTTGCCAATGGCTGGTTGACTGCGGTTTCCACACAGTCGCGAACAAAACAGGCTCATTTCTCACAAGAACGAAACTGGTCAGGCAAAGCTACAGGCAGCCAGCGTGCCCCAGTTCCTTCGACCTCAGCCCTGCTCCTATGCCACCACCTTTTACTTCAGCCTCTATAAGAGGGCCTGTCATGGGAGCAGGAGTCCTCCTCTTTCAACACAACTCTGAACTTAAGATTGTCATATTGGATGTCCCATGGAGACTGAGGATTAACTCCACTGAAGCCAGTGGAAGTGCAGGCAGTATTAAAGCCAGGCCAGGCACTACAAATAAATACCAAGCAAGCAAGTGAATATGTCACTGCTATTTCTGCTTCATAAATCTAGAGATGAAAATGCCTGTGAAAATACAGTGGGTGTAATTCATCTCAAATACGACTGAGCATGGCTCTGGTCCCATCAATTTAGGTAAGGAGATCTTAGCAAAGGACACCTCTTCTCCTTCCCACACCCCGTAGTTACTGCCGTTCTGCAAACATTGCCTGAATCTACAGTTATGCAGAGGCGGCACTTTAAGTTGTCCACAGAAATCTTGGGGTTTTATCATAAAATAGTGTGCGAGAGTCAGCAGAAGTTGAAAGCAAAGAGGTGCTACCAGCTAGAGTGTTTACAAGAAGAACTGTGGCAGGTGAGAAGTCAGGGCTGACATAAGCCAACAGTATTTTGAAGCCATACGAGCTCTTTAGAGCATATGAAATAAATTGGAATGAGGCTGCCACTCGTTCTTCAGCCTTGTTCATTCTGGGGCAGTCAGTGACAGCAGGAAAGCAGGCATGGACTAAAAGGATGAGGTCACACAAATGACAAATGCTGTCTAGGAGCACTGGGATGAGCATGACCATGGCTTCTCTGGATCCCAAGAGCAGAATTTAGCCAGGTCACAACTACTAAAGGAAGTGCAGGACTTTGCACCTCTTTCCCACCACCCTTCTCTTCCCAGAAAGCAACCTTTGCCTGGCCTTGCCTCATTTTATTTCCTCCCAGCTTGATTACCTCTCCAAATAATTCCTGTCTGACACTTCTCATATTTAAAATGCCTATCAGCCAGCCAGCTTACCTTTCTTAACACTGCTTGGCCAGAAGTAAACTGCAATCAGTGACTTAGAATGGCCAATGCTATTAAGGGCTTACAGGGTACTGATGCTGCTGATGAGTGTATCTGCCAGGCCACGTCTTTCAAGCAGAGATATTGTAAGCATTGGGAAAACAAAGCCTTTTATTTATCTTCCTTTTTTTTTTTCTACTTTTTCTATTTCTTTTCTTTCTCTTTTCTCTTTCTCTCATACATTTGTATTTGACTTGGTCTTGAAAGAAAGCTAAATCAGACTACCACAACACCACAAAAAAAAAAAAACCCACAACGGCCCAAGACCAGCAAAGTTTTCACTTTTCCTCCAAAAAAAGAATAGCTTATACCATCTTTAAATGACAGTCAAAGTTTTTATTCTGTTTAAAAAAAAAAAAAACCAACACTGCACCCACAACTGAAAGGAGCGTGTGAAACACTCTTTACATGAGTAAAATTTTGTTTACTTAGCAAGATTTTTAATGGGGATACCACAACAGAAATGAACAAGTGGAAACAATCCAGATTGCATTTCATTTCTTAAAATGTTCTAAGAATTAATAAAGGTTTCTTTAATCTTTCACCCTTTCCTGGGCCTGGGACATGCTGATTACCAGAGTAGCTTGGTTGCACTTAGGAAACCTGATGCCCGTCCACAGTACCACAGGGAACCTGCTGAGTTTCAACCTATGTTGTTGCTACCATCCCCTAATCCTCTGCACACCCCAGTTCTGGGCTCTGTCAGTCAATAAACTGAACATGATAGGAGCTTTCTTAGAGGCAGCAGTGCAAAATAGCCAAGTGAAGGTAATAACAATGCCTGAATCTTCCTTGGACAGGCATGTCCTAGGACACCCTGTCTGCCCAATCAAGCCAAGCTGTAGTTAACATTTCATTGAAAGGGTTACTCTGGGTTTCTCACTGTGTCCTCACACACACACATACATTTTCAGTTTTTTATTCCTAGTTCTTGTGTTGATTACAGGAATTCAGGGCCAGTTGATCTTTGTCTCAGATTATTTCCCCCTTGCATTGTAAGTGGAGTAGGCTACCTGGGCTGGATCGGCTGGAAGCAAAACACTATCTATAGCGATTATCCTGAGGAAAGCTCATCCTCTGAATAGAAAGCTGGACCTTGAATTCAAGACACTGTGTTCTCCTGCAGATTTGACTGTTAGCATCAACTCATCAGAACAGGAAGTTAAAAATCAGCAGAACGTGAGAACCTTTAATTACAGTGCTCTGGCTGAGACATCAACGAGACCAGGAGTAAAAACATCCCCAACAGACAGTCCTCATACCTGCAACCCTATCAGTGCAAAGGGAAACTGGGAAAAAAAGAAAGAAAAGAAAAAAGAAAGGAAAAAAAAAAAGCACACAAAAGCAAACAAACAGATTAATTTCAATGTGGAAGGGGATAGAGAGGGAAGCAGGAGAGAGACTTCTGAAAAATAAACTAATTAGAAGTTAAGAAGCATTCCTGTTCTGGGTCTTGATAGCAAGTGTCTGCAAACTGCCCAACCTGGGGAAAACCTTTCCCAAATTCAAATGCCACCAGCATCTGCGAAGAGCAGCTCTTTAAAAGGTAGAACAGACAGCAAGTTAACATTTAACACTTACTGAACTAGAAAACATATAGTTTTCTGCATCTTTCACATTCACATAGGCACTTTCCAGATTACAAGAAATGTCAAGGCTGAGAATTAAACCTAGTCATTTGTATGTCTCCAGGGTGCACTTAAATGATGACCCCAGCTCCCCTTCTCTCGGCCCCAGCAGATGCTCTTTGTCCGGCACCCAGAGCCGGATGGACGCTGTACTCACCAGCTGACTGCTGTACCAATATAGCGATGACTCCTTCAGCACGCACCAGAACTTTTTCCATTTGTTACCAATGAAAGCTCCTTTTTCCTTCTTTTTGTAGAGCCATCCTTGGCAATCAGCTTGCCCCAGCTCTTTACACGATATCCTCCGTCGGCTCATTGTAAAGAACCCTGTGCCATTAAAAATACAGTGTTCTGCTTGTTTAAAAGTGTATTACCAGGAAAGATGTTGCTCCCAATTAAAGATGTCAACCTTACTTAGCAGTTTCAGTGAGTCATCCAAGCATATCTTAAAATATACGTAGAAGTCGTTCAGTTTTATAATGGCTGTGACAGTAACACACATTCGTTTGAAAGGCATTCTGACGTGCAGAAACAAAATAGTAAGCTATAGATAATGCAGACAGTAATTAATGTTAAGATAACCATATACGAATTTTTGTAAATTAAAAATACATCCTTTGATCCTTTTAAGAGAAGCATGCATATAATTTCCTTTACACAGCTGCACTGAAAAGAATACATCTATTTAAGTCAGCTAGAGAAAACTATTATGCCAAGTACATGAAAACCTCTAGTGTACGTGTATGTGCAGACAGCTCATTCTACCCCACTGATTTCCAGCTTTGATTTAATTAACATACCACAAGGATTTAGTCCAAAGGAACAGCCCGTTGTCATTTTTCTCAGAATCGGTGCAAGAATCAGCAGAGTTAAAAAGCAGCCTTCCACTAGCTGAGGAGCAGTATAAAATCCTCACCCTCCCAGGAATAAGACATACTAAGAAAATAACAAAAGAGAAACCCAGAAGAGAAAAGAAAAAACAATCTCTCATTACCTTGACTTTTCTTTTTTGCCTTCTGACGCAAGGGAACCTGTAAGAAACGCAGGAAGGAAAGAAAAGAGGAAATTTCAGATTGTGTTGCAACATTTGTGTAGAAAAGGGAGGGGGTAGAGGAGGACGTGGTGGTGATGCTGGTGGTATATGCAGGATGGAAACGCATAACCCACTCACTGCTGAAGGGACGTTAGTAGCTGAAGCATAAAATGTGTTAATTAAATTGATGTATATCTAGTTGAGCAAGAGCAAATGTAACTCTATTATACATGTGTCTATCTACTAGTGCTTCCTGTTTCACACCCACAGGCAGCTTCCACTTTGCTACGTGTTTGCCTGAATTGTATTCTATGTTCAGAAGTTAAAAAATAGAAGTTAGGACTCCAACATTTTAATGCTTCCTTACACTCTGCGAGGGGAATTTACAAACATGGGGAGATTAAAAATACAGGCCAGGTGTCTGATTGTCCTTTAGCTCATTCTAAGAAATCCTAAAAAAGAAAAAAAAAAATGGATTTTCCACTCCTCTTTATTTA